ACATTGAAATGAACTTTTACCCTACGTGCTGACTTTAGGAGGTCTAAACATCGTATTAATACCTGAGAAAGAGAATCACTACCTGACCATTCGTTACTCTTCGTGAAGTCAACACCGAGGATCAAGTTCGATGACTCAAGACCAGCTTCTCTCAATGCAGAAATGACCTGAAACACGTAGAGCCAACTGAGTACCTCAACAGCATTTCGTAAGTGTGAGAATAATTTATCTTCGGTTTTTTTTTTCTTAAACAGCTTTCAGATAAACAAAAGTACCTACCTGGTCTAGCGAGTTGAAATTGTCAGCGATGAACTTCGGTCGCTGCAAATGTCTGAAGCTATTATGCTCCATCTGATCATCTACCTTCCTGCCCGAGAAATCAAGATGTCACCATCATATTAGATTCCATTGTAAGACCAAATTCTAAGCAGAACTTAACTACCCAATTTAGTAATTCACCAACCAAATCAGGATATTCCCCCCCAAAAACCAACTTAATTTCATAGTAAATATAGTTCAGCGTAAAAGCTGAGCTGGGTAATTGTCCATCTAAAGAACAGGCCAAGAGAAACAGCAGAATTCAGAAAGACCAAATTTACACCCCTTCTTTCATTCCAAGCCATCAACTACAAAATTGTTTCATGTCTGCCAACAACCCAAGAAGAGAAGTAGCATATACACAATATTATGCAATCGGATGACTATTTCGAGCTCTACCCTTTTGTTTGCTTCGTCTATGGCAGCAGAGTTGAAAACAGAGAGAAATATGTTACCAGCCGCAGTAAGCAATTCTGGAGGAGAAAGCTTCCGATGAAGAGAGGGGACCGATTTCTGCGATGGGCTATGTACCGGCATCCAGGGCAACGCCGCCGGATTCGAAAGACGGCGACGCCGCCGGAGTCGAAAGACGGCGACGGAGAGCTTATATTGGAGTTAGGGCTTGAGGGATTGATGAAGAAGGAGCGACGGAGGGGATTGGTTGACGCCTTGGCCGTGCATGTTCCTAACATGATTGCAATCCGAACAACTTGCCAACCAAGATGAAATGAAATGAAATGAAATGAAATGAAATGAGAAACCAAAATCGTCAAGCTATAATGGAATCGAGAGAGCAGAGAGGGAAGAGCGAACAGGACCTTCTGGGCGAGTCCGAGCACGCGTTCCGTCGCGGTTCTGTTTGGAGCTCCATCTTTGGATTGTCGTTTTTTTAGGGTAGGATTTCGGATTTTCGTGCTGGTTTCGTTAGCCTTTGCACTGGAACAATGGTGAGGAAGTGGGTGGATCTGAGGAAGACTGAAGTATGCGAATGAGGAAGGTAAAGTTACCCTCATTCTATTGTCCTCTACGACATCGTGTTCCATCCGAGTCAAGCCTTTCCTTTTTTTTCTTTATGGTTTAATTAGCCTTTCCTATTTCAAAGCTGCATAAATTAATAAATTCATGATTTGGTGGGAAAATCTTTTTATTTGGTTCAAGATTTGGGAAAATCCAAAACAAATAAATGGCGGGATAGGGGAATGAAAATTTATATTCATTGTTTCTTTATTTTTTTCAAATTCTAAACCTAAGTCCTCAATTTAAGTATCTAGAAAATTGTTTAAAGTTACCGCTCATATAAATGAGGTTCTTTTTCGTATAAGTTCATTAGATTAATACTCTATTGTTCAAGGTTCTTGACCTAAAAACCCACATTAGACCATGTATCAAGTATGTACGATGTGATATCAATGTATAGGTACAAGTGGAAATCGTGTGCAATATCAAAATATGAACTTGGTGTGGTAGCATTAACAAATCTAAGATATAAAATCTACTTAGGATTAGAGTTTAAACCCGAGTTAGAACTGAGGTACCCGCCCCCGCCCCATTGCCATCCCTATCGACCCGTGGATACCCGCCCACAACTTCGAGTTTATACAGATTCACTAAATAACTGGTTAGGTTGAGTTTGCTCGAATTCTACAGATAGGTGGTGAAAAATTTGTATGGGAAATTTGTGATTCAGGGTTTAGGGTTTAGGGTTTAGGGTTAGGGTTTAGGGTATAGGGTTTAGGGTTTAGGGTTTAGGGTTAGGGTTTAGGGTTTAGGGTATAGGGTTTAGGGTTTAGGGTATAGGGTTTAGGGTTTAGGGTTTAGGGTTTAGGGTTTAGGGTTAGGGTTTAGGGTTTAGGGTTTAGGGTTTAGGGATCAGGGTTCAGGATTAAGGGTTTAGGGTTCAGGGTTGAGTGTTCAAGGCTCAGGGTTCAGGGTTTAGGGTTCAGGGGTCAGGGTTTAGGGTATAGGGTTTAGTGTTCAGGGTTCAGGGTTCATGGTTTAGTGTTTATGGTTCAGGTTTTAGGGTTCAATTATCAATTATATAATTCTATGTCCATATTTTATTGCCTTAGAGGTTGTAATTTTTTTGTAAATGTCTAATTGGGCACCATATATAAAGGCGTAGAAATCTTCAGCCAATAACACTAACCCAATCCATCGAAGTCGGCCTAGAGTTCTGTCTAATTAGGGCCCGACGAGTAGAAGAATTGAAGAACTCTTTTTGCAGTTGAGGGCTTGTGATCAGAAACAACCAATATTACGACCACCGAAGAGGCCCAACAGTGCAGCAGGCGCGTTCTCCCCGTTGGCCGGCTAGTTGTAAGGCTGGGCCGGGTTTGGGTGAGGCCCATTAGTTGGGTTTGGCCGGCCAGAACACACATTCACTTAAAACCATCGAAATACAGTCTATCAAACACAAAACAAAACGTTTCCGCCTCATCTTCCTCTTCCCTTCGGCGCCTCTGTTCAGTTACCGGCGAACACATCAATCGGAGACTGGTTCATTGCATGGTCGGGTTTGGCTGTCCTCCTATCTGCCTGACCGACACTATTCGCATCCCCAAGACTTGATTCTCAAGATTTTGCCGCTTCCTCTTCCGTTCGGCGCCCGTGTTCAGTTCCCGGCGAAGACATCAATCGGAGACTGGTTCATTGCATGGTCGGGTTTGGCTGTCCTCCTATGTGCCTGGCCGACAATATTCTAATCCCCAAGAGTTGATTCTCAATATTTTGCCAGCATCTCACATTTTTATTCTTTCCTCTCATCAACAGCAGCGAAGGTTTATCAGGCCTCTGAGAAGCTCCAGTCCACAGGTGCGTTAGTTTCCATGCTTCTGATACAATGTGGTTTCATGTATTTAAATAAGGGACATGATTAGTTCTTCTTAGTTGTTGCAGACGTCTTTAGCTGTGTGCTGGATTTTGTTTGAGCTTTGTATTACAAAGCAGGCTCAATTTTGCGTTCTTTAGCTGTGTGCTGGATTTTGTTTGAGCTTTGTATTACAAAGCAGGCTCAATTTTGCGTTTGCACTGATAGGTTGCACAACTCTACTGGAAACGATTTTTCCATCCCATCTGGAGGTTTCCCATCGCTGCGTGTGCCAGTTGTAGTTGTACCACATGTTTGCTGTCTGCATAAGTATTTATACTTCCGAACACCCTTTTATTTTGATTTTGCCCTGGCCATGATGTGTCTTCTCTTCATTTGTACATGATTATTTGATTAGTGTCGGAACAATATCCTCTTTTGATATAGTCGATAAGAGTCTCTTTGGTTTTTTGCAATTGAAATACGAATTGGTTATTAATTCAACATTGCAAAAGTAATATGCACTGTGGTCCCAAACAACAACTAACATAGTTTGTTTTTATGATTTTAAAAGTGCAGATACTTCCAAAAATAGAGGTTGAGCAGAAGGAAATCAGTGTGACATATATTTGAGATGGACAACATACCTGAATGGAACCCGTAAGTAATGGTTTCCCAACCAACTAATAATAAACCATATTCTTGTGTTCTCATAACTACTTAATACAATTGCTAATAATCTAAATTATAGGTTTTTTACCCTTGGAGATGATTTTGTTACGAATCTAACTTATCAAAATGCCGTGTCATTGTCTGAGACCGTTGAAACTCTAGATCTAATCCCAAAGCAATTGGATGGTGATGATCAAGTGAGTAAGATAAGATGTTTGTTATCTATCATTCTCTATCTCTTCTGTGATTGATTTGCATCTGATTTGTTTATTTTTTTGCAAATCATCATCTTTTGCATTATATCAGGGCACTTCGTACATTTTCTCTGGCGTTGTAACAGAGCTGAGGAGATCTTGGTGTGATGCATCGAGAGTATACTTGATTCACTTGACCATTGAAGATGACATTTGTGATGTTGAGGTCGTGTTCCCATCATCATACTTACGGAGAATCATTTCTTCTGTAGTCAGTCCTTCTGAGATTGACAATGCCGACTATGTTACACTTCTCAACTTGATTGGTGACAAGTCATATGCAGCCATGGTCACAATCGGTCCTTGGAACAACGTGGGCAATTATTTTGATCTATTCTTGGTTAAGTTGTTCCTGCCTTTAGATAACTAAGTAGCAATTGGGTATTATTAATATGATCAGATTAATGTTATTAATGGTCAACCTATCTGTAATCTCTCGTGTTCTGTAAGCGTAATGGATATGTGAACACTAATATCTTTTGTAAGTTTAGTATCTTTTTGAGGGGTGCTTGATGTAAAATATGAATTTAGATTAGTCATGGTACTTTGAACAAATTAGTATTAATAGATGTGACTTGATTGCTTTTGACAACAGTGGAAGTAAACTATATCTATACTTGACTTCCTTTCGGGATACAATCCTGGGAACAATGTTTTATTATATCACACTTATGAGCCCCTGGACATATTGAGTGAAACAGTACAGAGGTTTCCATCATGTTACGGATCAAGTAATTGTGTCTAAACCAATGTTCGGGTTTCCTGCCAGATCCCAAATGCAATGTGGACATACAAAGAGCTGACATAACAACTATATCCACACAAATTCAAGGAAACCTAACATCGTTACAGTCTCGGACAACAGATCTCTACATAGAGTGCCCCCGCGAGACATTCACCTGAACTATTTCATCAGTCAATGGAACATAACTTGTGCAGAAAACCATTCACTATAGCTTGGGGAGATGACGCCTGCTAGTCCCCGGGTTGTTTCGCGATTGCGTATTGCAGGTGTTGCATCTGTTGGGCCCCACCTCCTTTGGTTTCTCTTCGTTGCTCTCTGCCACACCTGGAGCAGAAGATGGCTGCACCGAGATGGGTGTTGGCTCTTGCAAACTGACTTGTACATTGATGATCGGGGCAGGAGCAGGAGCAACAACAGGTTCCTTTCCAAGGGTGGTGATTGATGTTCCGTTCATGATACTCGCTGCTGATGATGCAGCAAGCTTGGATTGCTCCTCTTTTAGCAGGATATCCTTGTGGCACTTCGAGCACATGTTCATTGTTGCAGCGCTTCCGAAAAAGCCGCAGTTGTTGACGCACAGTATGGGATGGTCTGGCGGAGCTTGGCAGCCTGTCTCGTCATGGTCCATTTTCACTTCTGCAATATCCAATGACCATGTCAGATATATTAAGATGACTGATTCAACATGACTCGGATAATACACAAAGTGCTACAAGAAAATGAACAAAGGCTGGCGGAAACGTGGGACACGTTAACGCCATTGGCTAGTCTAAGTGATGTATAACTACACTGCAAGAAAGACAGGCATCTGACATTCACAAACAAGAGAATCAGAGCTAAATGACAATTAGAGCTTGGATATATAAATCCATACGTCTTGCTTATAAGCTGCATTCACAGTCCATAATCAATATAAAAGGACCCGATGACACCGGTTGAGTACCCTAAGAGAATAACAAGAAGGTATAATGAATTCCAGATATAAGCTGCAGCCTGCATTCACAGTCCATAATCAATATAAAAGGGACCCGATGACACCGGTTGAGTACCCTAAGAGAATAACAAGAAGGTATAATGAATTCCAAATATCTTCTAAGTTTATATTTCCTAAATATTGGACCAGTCATGTAAGATAAGAACTCTTAATTCACACAACTTCAGGCACAAGTCTGGACACTAGTAAATAATAAGGGGATGACTTGAAGATATCTGGTTCCAGCCAATTCAATCATATTCCTATGTTAACCAAAGCATGATATTTCATCTAGCTGAGACAAATTTCAGTTCCCAAAATGTAACGCCTATGACTCAGCAATCTCATATCCACTGAACCAGGGAAATTATGCAACGCTGTATGTCATAATTCTCAATCATATCCTCAAACCCCCCAAAGTGGTTGGTTCAACCGACAAATCGAAACCTCACAATACTGAAAAACACAAGTCTGCAATGTCTATCACTACTCTGTGAAGATGGAACTCAAACTGTCAATTCCAGATTCTTCCCAACCAAAATCCTGAACCAAATAAAAGTTCCTAATTGAAACAAATTGCAAGTCACCTAAGCTTGAATATATTAACCACATAAGGAAATTACGTGAAAAAGATCAAAACTTTCACCAGAATAGGACATCAACTCTTTCTTCTCCACCCCCAACCAATTAACCACAGGTAGCTCAGAGAGCTAAAACCTAAAAAATTCCGCCTTTATTCATCATACAAGCCCCCATAAGAAACCCAGAAACATCCCCTGATTGCGCAGAATCACTCTGCAACAAGCTAATCACTCGAAATTCAAATAATCACAATCGAGAAGGAAAGTAAACAGAAAGGGGGTAAACAGTAGAGAAACCTGCTGAAGATCGATAATTTGATTCCCCTCGAACCGATCTCTCAGCTTCTATATGCGCATGAAACAAGCCCCTCCCTGCAAAACCCAAAACCCAAAAAGAAGATTCAGTAAAATTAAAACAGAGTCATCAATATGTACCGATTGAAATTGAGACTGATGGACAAACATGGTTGTGCCTTTGACTACCGCATGGCCGAATCCTCACCTTCTTCTTCCTGTTCCGAGTCAGCAATGATGGCTGTAGTGTTCTGCTCATCCTGCTGCGCCCAATCGGAAGTCTGGGCTACGAAGGGGATAAAAGAAGGCAAATGGAGGTGGGTAGTGGGTTTGAGAGATAGGGAGTGGGAGAGATGGAGTTTGAAGGGTCGAGATGGGATTGATAGAGATGATCTGGGCGGGACAGTCGGGACGAAGAAGGAAGAGGAAGAAGAAGAAGAGGGAATTAGGGATGGTCTGTGGATTGAGGGTGTCCTTTAGTTCTCTAGGGACGTGGGTTTGGTTGGGTATTGGGGTTGGTTAATTGAATCAATAGATCAATCCAAAAAATCACTTCACCCACCCAAACCAATTAATTAGACTAAATTGCAAACATTTATATCTTGTAAGAGGGTTTTGGTAATTATGGTTATAATTAATAAGTGATTTAATGACGAAAAATCTAGAGCCGTTGAGATCAAACGTACGGTGAAGATCACCCTGGGTATGCGGTACCCCGGATTTTACCCGGAGTACCGTAGAAGGCACCCTATATATATATGGTGGTGTTTTCCGTGAACCCACTCTTTTAGTGCATTCAATGCACTCGCCTCATAATCATCATTCGGAGCATGTGATTCTTGTTAAAACGGTATCGATTGTTGCTTATGATATTATGAATAAGAAACACATGAAGTTTTTAAAAAATCATTGAAGATTTACTTTTATTGTAAGGATTTATGATATAGGGATTTAGGGGTAGGGTTTAGGTGTAGAATTTGGGGTTTTGAGTTTGGATTCAAAATTGAAGGTTGGTTAGGATAATTGATTGATTAGTTGTGATTCTATGTTATATCATCATGTTAGATTAATGCCACCAATTAAATTTCAACACTCGATGTATTATCGTCACTTTTAGAGTTGGGTGTATTGAATGCACAAAAAAAAAGAGTGCGCTGAAGTAACCACCATATATATATATATATATGGCGAGTTCTACGGTACCCTGGGTAAAATCCGGGGTACCGCATACCTTGAGTATGAAAACACTATCTAGACCTTGAATTGACCGATCTTTCGGACATGATACTATACTCTAACCCTTAAAGATCAAAATCTAGGTCTTAATTCTCCCAATCTTATACTCCAAGATCAATTTGATTAGAAACAATAATCAACGATTATGATTCGTCCAAATATAGGCACAAAGAGGAATGCACTATCTTAGTGTTTATAGATTATTATTTAGATAATTAGGACCTAGGGTTCACTCATTAAGGGTTAGGGTATAGTATCAGACCCAAAAATCATGCTAATTCGAGTTCTAGATACCGTTTTCATACTCAAGGTATGCGGTACCCCGGATTTCACCCGTGGTATCGTGGAATGCACCATATATATATATATATATATATGTTTGGGCTTTTGTGTTAGTACATTATGTATTTTGGGTTAGTATGTTTTGTTCATTGTTATGGGTTACGTATTATGTGGGCTACTTAGTTATTTGCGTAGTTAGTAGGTTAGTAGAACGATTAGTGCATAGGCTAAGAGTTAAGGGATAATTAGTCTATGTTGGGTCAGCATGGGCCAAGTAGTTCTTTGTGTTGTGGCCAACAGACCTAGGGGAGTTAGGAGGGTTCAGCTAGGTTAGTAGGGTTACGTATTAGGTTTAATTGTCTATATATTGTAATTATAGCATTAGTCTGATTTATCAAAGTAATAAACAATAAAGGTTTTCGACACCAACGTCGTCTCTCGTTTGGGAGTTACAAGCAACCCTTGACTCGTGGGAAATGGGTTGCCATCAATTGGTATAAGATCTTGGTTGCTTCGCAGCATTGGGATTCGAGAGATGGCGAGTTCTTATAAGTTTATCCATGATATGATAGAAGAACAAGAGTATCTGAGATTCTAGAGGAACAAGAATGGTATGGCAATTTTTTCGTCGTCGTTCTTCGCCCAACCATCAGATTCCGCAGGAAAAATTGTTGGAGGAGTATACCGCCAAACCCAAGTCCATGAACGTCATCGACAGGAAGCGACGACGACGTGGCCCACATTAACTCCAATGAAATCAGGGTGGTGGGGGAGATGAAGATCAGATCGACGGGAAGGAAATAATGCGCAATGGTGACTATCATCTATGGGAGGCTCTCACCCAATGATCTAGAAGTGATGGGAAGGAAACAGTGTGCCGCGGTGGTCACCACCTCGACGAGGCACCTATCGACTCGGAAGCTGCGAGAAGGAGGAGATTGATATCAGCGCTCAATCTAAGGGGGACGAGATCGTTGTGGGCGGCAGGGGAGTTTTGGGGCCGTTCCAAGGGCCGCCATTACTATGCAAGCCACCGGTTGAAAAGAACCCGGGATGGAAGCCGCAAGAGTTGCGGACTAGAGCTGAAGGTCTACTGGTTGGGTCGAAGTGGCAAACCAAGCATATTGGTGATGATGGTGATGTTGTTTTGCTGCAGCTAATATTGGTCCCTCCAATTGTGCGTATGGCATGCTCTATCTTTGGACCAAGATGAGGGCGATGGTGGAGGGCTCTCATGGCTGTTCCTATTTGGTCCAAGTTCTAGATGTGCTATGGAAGGAGTTTTGGTGCTCGCCGATGATCAAGTTGCAAAGTCCAACACTCCAATAATTGGGGTCGATGGAAGAGCCTCAAGATGGAAGTTCAAGAGGCGATTAAAGCCTCGCCGCCGCAAGAAGTGCAACCACCATCATTGTCGTCGTCGTCCCCTAGAATTCATCAAACATTTGAACCTTACGGATGCTCAAGCATACGAGCGAGGGAGTTCCATCCAATGCGAGGAACAAGACTAGAGGACAGTGGCGGACCCAGGAATTTTGAGTAGGGGTGTCCGCTTTCAAAATAAAATTAAAAATAAAATAAAATAATTCTTAAATAAGAAAAGTATCCGAATAATATTCAACAACACAAATATTTGGTTAATACAAGTTACAACAAATTTCCACGTTGTGTTTTCATATTCTGAAAATATTCTAAAATACACTCCGTGTCTACAGTATTCAGCAAATCTCTTTCAATATATCCTACGAGACAATCATTCACAAACTGATCGCCTAGTCGATTCCGAAGCTTGTTCCTGATGTAACTCAAAGCTGAAAAGGCTCTTTCAACACTTGCAGTTGCAACCGGTAAAGTCAATACAACTTTGAGAAGCAAATATACCCATGAATATGATAGATTCACTTTTGTCTTCACCATCAGCTGACACAATTCATCAATTCCTTTTAATCCATGGAATAACTCATCATTCTTCACAAAATGATAGTAATTCTCAAAGTCCCTTAGAAGAAAAGAGTCAGAAAGATGACCAAACTCTGTAGGATAAAATCGAGTAAGACTAACCAGCTTCTCCCTGTCAAAAGCAGCAAACTCATTCTCCGGGCTAAGAGAAGCCATACAAGTCAACAACCTAGTATTCACCTCATCAAAACGGTTGTTCAACTCTTGCAGCTGCATATCAAGAACAGAGTAATACAATTCAACCTGATAGTGATGCAAGTTTGTGATCTGTGGAGCCTTGCGCCTTGACCGTCCTGGAAGAACATACTCATCATCCATGCCAAAAACGTGAATAGATTCCTTAGTGCAAAACAAGAAACATCCTCAAGTAGAGACTCCCATCCTCAATCTCTCATCTCTTGTAATCTAGTTTTTCCCACACGAACAAGTTTCATAGCATTTACAATGTCTTGATCTCTCCTTTGCAATGCTAGTGACAACTCATTCGTAATTGCTAACACTTCAATCATCAAATTCAAAATGAAAAGTTCAATTGTCTGATACTTATAAACATATTAACCTACTGGCTACTGCTGCTTAACAATTGGAATTAACAATTGAAAAGTTCAATTGTTGTATATGGCAGCAAGTTCAAGCTTACCTTCAGGGGAAGTTGTAGCAGCCAGCGGCTGAAATGGAGGAGGACGAGGACCGGACATAGGAGGGCGAGTGTGGTCGTGGCCGACGAACAAGGACAAGGCCGACAGAGAGGACGAGGCTGACGGAGGAGTGCGAGGCCAGCGGAGGAGGACGAGGCTGGATCGTGGCTCAACGTCGTCAGATTGAAGCTTGATGGAAGCATGGTCTATTTTTTGCGAAGTTGAATCTGAGTCGTGTTTAGTTTTAGGGTTTTGTTGTCAAATTGTGGATAAAATTAATATGTTTATAAGTATCAGTATCTTAAAATTATAGCAAGATATGAGTTGTAGTGTGATGAAAAACATTCTTTAAAATATGAAAGGTGGGTACGCTTTATTGGCTCAAGTTTCTGCTACTGTTTCATATTTTGTCATTTGCTACAAAATGAGATCTAAACTTTCTAGCAGCCAAGACAAAGTTATTGCCCCGTCTCTCAAACCGGTGACGCCTTCCCTGTCTCGCTTAGCCAACCATGCCTACCGTACACCTACCCCAGCCAACCTTACCCCAAAGTCCGCAGGCACAGGTCACCATTTCAGTCGTTCTGTCCTTTAACCACGCAGCTTCCACAAAACCATTGCCCGACCCTCCCCCAAAACACCTTCCATGTCACTGCTGATCACGCCACCATCCCTTCACGGCCTCACCCTGTAATCCACAATCACAAGCCACCGATTCAATCGTCTTCATCCTCTCATCACGTCGGTATGCTTTTCCAAGTTTCAAAATCTTCATAGTTGCTTAAACACGCCACCACAGATGAGACCTCTTCATAGCTGCTCAAACACGCCATCGTCTATGGTTTGTAGATGCCCCACCTCATTCCCCATGGATTAAGAGAAGAATTCTCTCCTCTGGTATAAACTCTTTCAAATTCATCCCACCTCCTATACGATTCCTTTGTTTTTGGCCACTCCACTCAAT